GTTCCTTGTCATTTTTTACACAAGAAACCGTTGAGAAAATCGAGTGCCCGCTATTAGGATTAAGATAGCACTAAAATGAAACGAACCACGCGCTAGCCGCTCGGCCATCTGCTACTCGTGCGGTTCCAACGTTGCTTGCTGCAATTGCCTACTTTAAAGAATAAATAATTTCATATTCTAACAGTTTATATGTATTTATTTAAATAATATATAAATAAATTAATTAAATAAGTAATTAAATTTAAATTAAATTTTGATGACTTATTTACTTAATATAACGTATTATAAAGTAATATAAGTAAAGTAATATAAGTAATATAAATCTGAAACAACATTGAGGGAAACATTTGCTCTGTGCGTTAGATCGGGCGTGAGAATGACGTATATGCAAAAATGTGTGGTAGAAAATATAAACACCAATTTGTAATAGCTTCTAGAAGTCTTTAAAAGTCTTTGAATTTCTTACGAAAAAAAATTTATGCTAAATATCAAAAAAATTTTATTGAATTCGTCAAAAATACATTTCAAAATACTGTAAAAAAAATTATTTATGTTAGTGATGGTGCCGGAAGCCAATATAAAAATAGAATGAATTTTTTAAACTTAGTTCGATATTACGGCATTTATTCTATTTAGAGCAGAGTGGCATTTTTTTGCAAGTTATCATGTTAAAAGTCCATGTGATGGAATTGGTGGAAGTATAAAAAGATTAGCTCGACGAGAAAGCTTGCTCGGTAAAATCATAAGTAATTCTGCAGAATTTTACAAATGGGCGAAGCAAGCTATGCCTAAAATAACGTTTATTTACTGTAGTCAAGAAGAATATGAAATTTTTGAAAGTAGCATGTATAGTCAATTAAAAGATGCTCTTACTATACAAGGAACACAATCACTACATGCATTCATTCCAGTTAGTGATGACAATACAACGGAAATTAAAGGAAAAAAAACTTCATACTCTTCTGAATTTGAAATAAGACGCATAATTTAAAGGGTTTTTTTTTGTAAAATTACTTGTAAACAACTTATTAAGAATATTATTGTGTAGGTCTGATAAAAAAACATTTTTAATGCGGCCGCATCCTAAATATGCGTCGGTCTCAAGCCCGCTCAAACGCAGAGAGCGAATGTTTAATTTCAATATTATATCAGATTGTATAAAAAAATTGTTCATTTACATTACTTACTTAATTAATACATCTATATATTGTTTAAATAAATACATATAGACTGTTAGAATATGAAATTATTTATTCTTTAACCCTTTGAAGCATACATTTTTCTCTCCAGGATATTTAGATGAAAATTTATATATAGGGGTTTTTGAGGTCGCTGATCATGAATCTGACATTAGATTGTTCGAATTTTGCATCTAAGATGGCGGATTCAGAATGGCGGAGATAGATTTTTTTCTATATTCGCTTGAAAACTTTAAAATTCATAACTAATGAGTTTTAGGGGTCACTGATAACGAATCTGATATCAGGTTTCCTAAATGATGTATCCAAAATGGCGAATTCAAAATGGCGGACAGGCATTTATTTTCTATATTGGCCTGAATACTTCAAAATTCAATGTAAAGGCTTTTAGGGCTCGCTGATAACGAATCTGATATCAGATTTCCGAAATAATATATCCAAAATGGCGGATCCAAAAATTCGGATATCAAATTTCATTTTTAGGGACTTCATTTTCATGAAACGTAATTTCTAAGGGTTTTCGGTCGTGCTGATAACAAATCTAATAATATAATTTAGTATTCTGTTTCAAATATTCTAGTATTTTGTTTTCTGATTAGGTGAATGAATCTCTCAAAAAAACAAAAATATATATATATATATATGGCCCTCAGACCCATGGCGAGTACATTCAATACAAAGTGTTTGGTGCTCATACAAATCGCCAAAAGGCCCTCAACCCCCGACCTACGAAAAATAAATAAAGATCGGCTCTTTGCTTCTGGAGTCATCCATATATTTGTTGACACTCATTGACTAAAATGAAACATAAAAAATGCAGAAAATAATATATAAAAAATAAAAAATAATATAAAATATAAAAAATAAAAAAAATATATAAAATATAAAAAATACAAAAAAAATATAAAATATGAAAAATACAAAAAAAAACGTAAATGGAGCTTGAAATCATCACGTCCTCGTCGTAAGCTCCGGGTAATGCCGAGAATGAGTGAAAGAAGTATCCACTATTCTGAGATATTATACTTTCAAGTCATGCAAATAAGCATGTACATCAATCATATCCTTTGGCCATCTTGGCTGCAGAATTTCAGAAAACTAGTATGATATTGATTATCACTGAGATTGAGGCACTTTAGATATGAGTTTGAGAGTATTCAAGCCAATATAAGAATATACATATCCGCCATTTTGAAAGCATTATTTCGGAAACCTGATATCAGAATCGTTATCTGCGACCCCTAAAACCCTTTAGATATGAATTTTAGAGTATTGGTATCAATATAGGAAATCTTGCCCGCCATGTTAGATCCGCCATCTTGGATACACAATTTTTGAAATCTGATGTCAAATTCTTATTCAACGACCCCAAAAACCTTTGTATACCAAATTTGAAAGGGATACTCTCATTATTCGCGTCAATAATGAATTTCTCCCCAAAAATTCAATTTTTTTCTTCTTTGTTCATTTAAAAATATTAAAAAATAACCCAATATATTGATTTCAACTGCAAAATTATGTTTTTGAACTATTAATGAACTGAAAGAATGCAAAAGACCCTGTTGAAATCCATAATGTTGTTCTAAAATGGCAAAAGAAGCAATAAATCAATGTGTCCATCAGGATGGACACTGTGCTTCAAAGGGTTAAAGGAGGCAATTGCAGCAAGCAACGTTGGAACCGCACGAGTAGCAAACGGCCGAGCGGCCGAGCGACTAGCGCGTGGTTCGTTTCATTCTAGTCCTATCTTAATCCTAATAGCGGGCACTCGATTTCCTCAACGGTTTCTTGTGTAAAAAATGACAAGGAACACGATGGTACAAAAATTAAAAAAAAAAATATCGTTTTTTGAGATATCGTCGATTTTTTGAAAAAATTGTTTATAACAATGGCATAAATAAATGATTTGGTATTTTATTATTTACATTTTTAAAGTGGAACTCTTTCCGCGTCTTTTAAAAAAAGAATCATGTCCATATCTTTATTAGTCTCCGAGAAATCGAATTAATAAAAAAAGTCCAATATTTTTTCAACAGTTGATAAGTCGGCCCCTTAACAATATTTTGATCTAAAACTCTGCACAGATGTTGACCTCTGTATAGGTAACAAGTCTACCAACTTTGAACAAAATTGGTGATTTGAAGTTTGAAACTGTTTGAAATAGCCAAGAATTGCCCTTAAATGTTATTTCACGTTTTCAGAAAAAACAATTTTCCGCAATGTTACGGCATCTTAAATATATCAAAAAACGTCTTTTTTCCCCCTTTTGTTTAGGATATCCTTAAAACCTGACGTGATGGATAAATTCTGACTCCGGAATCGAATCCTACGCAAACAATTACTTCGAAAATGACCTTCACTTAGCCAACAAGGAAACCATGCAGATTTGTCTAGTTAATAAAAATATATTATATATCTCTCTAAAACCATTTTTGCTTACCCAGATTGATTAACTTTTAAATTATTTGAATTATGGAAAAAGAATCTAAAAAATTATATCTAAAGCCATAATTATATTCAACAAAAATAATAGAAATAATTGTTAAGTATACATCTACAAAATATTTTTGAATTACTTTTTTAATACTCATCCTGCTCTTACTTAGAAATATAATTCTAAAAAAAATGAAATCAAAATTTTTAAAATATCAAACCAGATTCATATCTTATCTCAAAGATAAAGTCGAAATATATTAATTCTGATGTCGTACTTAAAGTAGAAAAATTTTAATAAGTTTAATATCTTTTACGAAAAGATTTTATTATAAGTTTACAGACCTATCTAATTAGTATGAATTATATTTTGTAAAAACTGAAAATTGTTTTGATGAAATTTTTTGTAATTAAAATATTTATACTATATAACTTATAAAGAAAAACATTCCTTTCTGTTAAAACATTCAAAAAATAACATAAATTATAAAACTTGATATAATAAGTATATTATACAACATAATTTATTTCTAATGCTTTATATTTAATTCAAATGGCATTCTTTCATCAGTATTTTTAGCTGTTACCATACTTGAGTGATTGTACATTCTTATATATGTATAAATAGAGATCTACTTTTACAATAAATTAAAAGCTATTAATTAGAATAGAGAATAAAAACAAGTGTAATTCTCGTGAACGACCTGTAAATTAAAAATTATATAATATCTTTCTTGCAGATATAATGTAAGCGCTGTATAAAATCTTGCTGAGATTTTGTTTTGTTGAAAATATACTTTTCAGGAAAATTAATTGTAATGCATTTCTAAATGTCATGTAAACAGAATATTAAAATAATTAAAAAAATAAACAAAATCACTTTTGAATATTTATACAGAAAGTAAATTAGAGTTACATAACAAAACCAATAAATTAAAACATTTTTTGGACATATAGATCCACCACATTTATGAAAATATTATTTAAATAGACATCATTGAATCAATAAGTATAGCAAATAAAAGATTGTTCATCACTATTATAATATAAAATTATGTATTATTTTACTTGTTAGTTTCTTTCTATTATATGAATTATATATTAAGTATTTTTTATTTAGAATATACTACTTTATGCATCATCAAACTAATAACTTGTTTTTATAAAAGATCTAATTATCTTTCTTATTTCACATCAGTAATTTATAAAAATATTTAGTAATATAACTTGAAAATTATATTATATCAAATAACTCAAACTTAGAAAGTAAAATTCTTAAAATAATATAAAGAATATTTAATTAATACAAAAGACAAAGGAAAAGTTTCAAAAGTGGTGACTAAATAAAATGATATTTTGTATACTTACAAGCATAATTGGAATGATAAGTATATACATTTCTATTTAAATTTAACCTAACAAGCACTGATGCACTTTTCACTAGATTTCCGACCATAATTTCAGTTTTTGAATAATATGAAGTTTCAGTTGTGTTATTCTTCTCTATCAGTTAAAATAGCTAGATCAGAGAGTAAAAGAAAAAGAAACCTAACATATGTATGAAAATTGCAACATCCAGAGATCGTGCCGATCCTGGCAGGAAAATAAATGATTTTCCAATTAAACTACACATGGTTGACTTTATTTTAATTTGTACCACCCGCAAATAAGATTTTAATAATTTGCACCCCTCTAGAAAACAAAGAAAATACGAAAATAATAGGATGTTGGAAAATCTATGCTCCTAGCAGGAAAAAAATTGATTTTCTTAAATAAAAAAATATAGGCAGTTTTCTTTTAATTTGTACCATTCGAAAATATCAATTTGGCCATTTGTACCCGTCACAAAATTAGGTAATAATTAAATTTTCACAGACCAACTCAGTCGTTCATACTTTCGTACCTTCTGCGCATGTGTGATGGAAAATCTTGATTCTGGCACGAAAATGTTAGATTTTCACGGAAAAAATCAAGTGAATGGCTTCTATTTAATTTGTACCATTCGAAAATTACAAATTTTTCATTTGTACCCCCTGTCGAAACCGGAAAATAGCAGTTTTCTTTATCAGCAATATTGCTATTTTCAAATCTGGCGAGCGAAAGTTGGCAGCCATTCAGAGAGAGAGAGAAAGCCCGACAGTAGGTTGAGCTGGTCCAGTTCAGATTGTCAGAGAGAGAACGGCAATTGATTATTGATCATAATAATCAAAATAAAAAACTGAATGTTCTCGAAAAAATAATTCTATTCAATTAAGTAGATACGTATTAGTTCCAGCGTGAATGTGAAAACTTTGAAATAGCAAGAGACGTGGGAGTGAGCAAAAAATCTAACCAACAAATCAGATAAGTTTTTTTCATGTTTCTTTGGAAAATTATTACTGGTACTGATTTGATGCATTAAAGTTCAGATACTTTGTTTAAAATTTCTGCTCATTTCAGATTAAAGAAAATTTTCTTGAAACGTTTGAGGAGCTAATCAATTTGAAACGGTATTGTTTGATTTCACTGAACTCTATGCTTTATGAGTTACAATGGGTACAAGTACAAGACAGTAGGAGCAACAAGAAGAGGAATCAAAGATGTATATACTACCAGATCTAAATATTCAAGGGATGTCGAATCATGGCCATCTTCCAGAAAATCAAATTCAATAAGTTGTGGTATTGTTACGTCTCAAGACGTATCCTTATTCATTTACACTCTTTAGAAAGTGCAATTCCGAATTTCGTAAAATCAAAACTATGTACAGGTCCACCAGAAAACTATACGGCAGCAAAACACAAAGACCATACTCAGCATTACACAACGCACATTGAACTCAAAAGGAAAATTACCCAACTACACAGAAACATCAGCGATTAATTAAGCACAAATCTATGTATATAAGACGAACCACCTGTAAAGAGTCAGTTCTTTTTTATTGTTACTCCGTACACGTCAGTTCGACAATTGACGAATAAACTTTACGTATCGACGCTACAGTCGCGTGCAAGCCTGTTCGACAATTTGGCTAACTATTCAATTACTACTTGTCAAACTATATTATTTGATCTTAATAAATACGCGATCCCTTAAAAGTGAGAACGTGCAACTTCATTATTTTACCTAACCAAATACCGAAATCTACAATACTGAAGGTACTCCAGAGACTGTAAGTACAACAAAATAATAAAACACATTCATTTCTATCCATATATCATATATTACTCATTACTTGTGAGCCTCAACCAGCCACTTGTATCATATTGGTACGTTTCGCACATTCGCTATTCGTAGTTTATGCACGAGACGTAACAAATTGGTTCCGGTACGAAATTAAAAAAATCATTTTATTTTATCAATTCAAAGTGCAAAATCGGAATAAATTACTTTATCCTACCAATTCAAACTTTTCAATACAATCTTCAAGGCATCAATTAATAACAAATTAATAATTTATAATTTTGAAAGAAATTTTTTTTTACAACAAATTACATTTCAACCGATTTCTTTCGAACTGAAAACACATAATATCAAGTTCGTAAATTGTGTCATTTCATAAGCGCGAACCGTGCTTTGGCGTAGTAACTTGACCATCGCGCGCCGCGACTAAATAATCTGGTAGAATCTAAAACTCAGCAAAAATTTTGGAACTTGAATCGAAATAAGGAAAGAGTAGAGAAAAAGTAGGTCAAAACACCAATTCCTTACTTACTCATATACGAATTTGTTACTTATATACATACATATATATATATATATATATATATATATATATATATATATATATATATATATATATATATGCATGCTTATATAATTATACTTATATGAATGCTACAATATTATTAATCGAACGATATACGAATCATTTTACGTTACTCCCTCTCAATAACCGAACAAATTTTAACTATCGATTTTTAGTTTTTTTTTAAGTTCTCATTATTTCCTTTTGAACTTTCTTATAATTATTCAATACAATCTAAATTCAATACATTTACTTTTCCTTTTCTTTTCTCGAATAAAATGCCCAAATGAGTAAAAAAATTATCCCAACTAGCAGAGTAATTTCAAACGACTCGAAGCTTACGCGATCCCAAACGCGTAGCAATCCCCAATTGAAAAGCCTCCTACATAGAAAACACAAACAGAAATTACAAGAACCGAAGATTCACCAGCAACTCAAACAGAAGAATAAGATTCAATTATACAAGAAAACAACTTTTCAACAGTAAATACCACAATAGACCTCGATAAAAATCAACGATACTCAGACTTTGGAGGAATTTACAACGAACAAAGCCTGATCTTAGGAACTTCAAAAGATACATTTTTAAATCGCGAACTACAAAGTCAAGAAGAAGGAAAAACACTTGCCGAAGAAGATAAACAAGAACTTACAATTCCGAAAAATTTTGAAAATAATCTACAAAAGGAAGACACACGGAAAACTGATTTTCTAGCAGCAGTAGACATCGACACACTCATCGAAGACCCGTCTACCACAAAGCAAGAAACAAAAATCATTAGAGAAAATCCTACACCATCAATTAACAAAATACCTACAAATATGGATAACCAGGAAAAACCAATGAAATTACAATTGAAAGATGTAGCAGCCTTCGTCGCGGAGTTCGATGGCAAAAACATACCACCTATGGAATACATCTCCATGTTAAAGGAAGTAAAAGATATTATAGATGACATTGATGAGAGAAACCTTACAAAATTATTAAAAATAAAAATTAAAGGTGAAGTAAAAGAGGCAATAAAAGAAAGTAAAGTGGAAAATATAACAGACCTAATCAATGTAATCAGAACTCCATACCCCATCAAAGAAGACATACACGCACTATATGCGAAAGTTCGTCAGATATCACAAGAGGAAGACGAATCAGTTGTACACTATACTAACAGAATACGACAACTAGTATTAAGAATAAAGGAAATAAATAAATGGGAGGACATCACAGCAATAGAACGAACACAATTCGAAGCTACACTAGACAAAGAAGCAGCTAAAAGCTATAGGAAAGGACTAAAAGCAGAAATCAGATACGAAATAGGCCCAGGAACTACAGTACAAGAAATGTCGACAAGGGCAATAGACATTGAAAGCGATATAGAAAAAAGAAAATACAAAACAAAACCAAGTAGAAACTATACATATTCAAACGATAAAGAAGAGTTTCAAGAAGCAAAAATTCTCACATGTCAAATATGCAGAGAATATTCACATGAAGCTCTATTTTGTCGCACCCCTGCTAAAAATGGCCCATTGATTCTGATTAAAATTGATTAAATTTCAATAATTTCCAATCAGTTTTAATATTTTTGTTGATCTTTAATTAATATGTGAATTAAAATTGAATCGTCGTTAATAAAATCTAATTGGAATCACATCAAATCATAAAATCTCGTATTAGTTTCAATCATATTGAATAACTTCCAATAGCACATGTAATGACAAATAACTTAATTACATTTTATTTAATATTTTTTAATACAGTCTAATCCTTTTTTATAGAACACACTATTTAATAATATTTTATTATATAATTTCTAATATATTTAAATGAATTCCAAAAGAAGATAATATTCAATCACATTTAATCTAACAACTTTTAATAAATTTGAAAAAGGTCCCAACGTGAATGTTTTTAATCACATTTTATCTAATATTTTTTAATGCATTTTAATCATTTTTGATAGAACACACTATTCAATCATATTTTATTTTATAGTTTCTAATATATTTGAATAAATTCCAAAAGAACATAATATTCAATTACATTTAATCTAACAAATTTTAATGCGTTCGAAAAAGGCGTCAACATCAATATCTTCAATCATATTTTATCCAATATTTGTTAATAGCTTTTTATACATTTTGATATAACCCACTGATCAGTTATATTCAATTGAATAGATCCCAATACTTTTTAACAAGTTTAAAGAAACTAACTATCTAATCACATTTATTTTATTAGCTTTAAATTAAATCTAATGTATCGGTAAACATTAAAGTAATTAGACGTATATCGTAAGCGCAATTAATTTAATTACTTCAAATATATTTCAACATATTGACAGTACTGGAATTATATATAGATATAAAAATATAGATTAAAAAGTATAAACGATATTATTTTCACTGAAAAATAATTATTGTACTTCAAAATCATTGGGCATTTTGCACAAGTATCTCGCATTTCTGACATTCACCAATAAAACTTTACATTCAATATCACTCACTGGTTGAACAATTTTATTACTGCGCTCAGACTGTATTTTTCTTATATGTTCTACGTCTTCGAATGGCAATTCCGGAAACATATTAAAAATTCGTAGCTGTATAAATGGTTTGGCATTGTATTCTATAATATTTATTATTTTTGCGTATTCCCCTGAATGTAGAAGTATCACAGAATCATTGGTTTTCTTGCTTTTAGCATATTTCTCACTGTGATAAACAGTGTTCTTGTATATACATCTCTTGTAAACCATACATTTACCAAATCGGTCTACATTCTTCAGCTGACCTTTTCCGCAATAAACAATATCCGCTCCGTGACGAAAAGACTTGCTGAATTTAATTGGGTTAAATAAATTTGAACAGAACATTTTAGTTCTATCTGGCGTTGAAATTGTATTTGT